TTATATGCAATTTTTCCTAAGTATATAATATATTGAAAATATATTTATAAACTTTGATAATAAGTTATAGGTATGTTTGCAAAGAAAAATTTTTCAAAGAGTTTGCTACACTCTTACAGTTTCAATTTTATTATTATAATGGAATATAAAGAAGAGAGACCATATTGAAGTTTAATATGAATATTTTATATTCTTAACTGTCAGTATGATCAGTAAATATTTCATATTTTTATTATTTATATTCAGTACGTAGGATATGTAATTAAGAAATATAATCAGAAAGAGATGAAAGAAAAATGCAGATGCAACCACACATTAACTAAATATTAATTATTATAATTTATGGTAACAATAAGCAATATTACACTACCGACTGTTTGCTTTTAATTCTAAATTAATATTTTATATTAAACGAAACATTAATAGACATTATTATTTGAAAAATATTTCAATCATTGAATATAGTTTTCTATTACTGCCATGACATAGTTGTTTATTATAAAGTATTCTTACTATCATCATAATCATCATAATCATCATCATCATCATCATCATCATCATCATCATCATCATCATCATCATCATTATTATTATTATTATTATTATTATTATTATTATTATTATTATTTTTATGTTAATCATCATTATTATCATCATCATCTTATTATAAGGCATTTATTTTATATATTATGTAATTAAAGATTGTTATTTCATTCATAAATGGAAATTGCTTATTATGCGTTATTGTCGTTCTAAATATTTAATTCTATTACATTTATTCGATATTACTTTCCTGTTTTTATTTCATAATATTAAAATATCTTTATTTTCAATAATAAAACTATGCTTTTATTGCTTTTATACTATTTTTATGACCACAAATTTTGATATATACGATTTAATTAATGTGATTTTATATGATTTTACACGAAGTAAATAGATCAATTATTTTATGATTTTCTTAATTTCTTACATTTACTTTCATAATTTTTTTTTTATGCACTCGTATTATACCAACAATATTCATTTATATATTTTATTTATAAATTTATTTATGGTTTAATAGATAATATATTTACTTTAGTCGATATTTCTGTTCTATATTTTTTAGTTTAACTATAATAGAAATAGATTGTTGAATTGTATTTGCTTTCAAAATTTCTTATTAATTAATGTCTATATTACATTAACATTACAATTACATAGTTTCTAATATTAATATTTTGTTATTCGTTTATATTTTAATATTATTATTTATGGTAAGATATATATAGTAGTGGTATTAGAAATTGAATGACAAATCATTTCAATATCAAGCTTTAATGATATTGTTTAATGCAAGGTGTTCTATGAATAATTTATTATTGTGCTTTGAATAAAGAAATTTTGTATGTGATGGTTATAAAATAAAAATAATAACATTCGCGCGTAGTAAAAAAAAAAAACAATGAAAGTAATGCAAATAGAATACGTATGAGAGAAAGTAAAGTGAAGGACAAAAGCGGTCTTAAGTGAAAGTTGTCTTGTTTCGCGTAATATAAAATGTAATATTTATATATGATTTTATAATATTGCAAAATGAATATTTTTCTATTATTATTAAATTTTGATTTGTGAAATCATCGTTTCATCATCATTTTTTCATTCACACATTAAGTTGTATTTGCTATTGATGTTTATTATAAAAAAAATGTTTTAACTTGTGTATAACAAAATATTGATAGAAGCTTGAAAATTTTAACATGAAAACTATTTGTGTAATACTTAGAAAATATAAGTCGTATATTTTTTTAAAAGTAAAATATATAATACATTATGTAAGTATACATTATGTTCTTATTGACCTTTGCCTGGTTTGGTTCTTGACATTAACGCAAATACAAAAATTTACTTTCTATAATTAATTATATATATATATATATACATATATATATATATATATATATATATACATATATATATATATATATATATATATATATATATATATATATACTTAATAATTTAACATTAAAAAGTTATAATTTTATATTAATTAAGTGTACAACGCGAAATTATATTTAGGTAATGAATTCTACTTTTTTTTCGACAATCACTACTGAATAAGTAAAATTAAAATGTTGCCTTATCATAATCAATTATTGCATTGTACATTACTATTTCTACGAATTGGGAAACGGCAAATTAATATTAATAAGATTAAAAATTCATTTTACAGAAAGTATTAATAAAGTTGAAATTCATGGATTAAGTAATTATATTCGATTACATTTAGTGGCTTTATAAATCCTATCGTCGTGCATTTGATCTTTTGTTAATAAAATTGCCGATAGATTTTTAAGCCATGAAAATTGATGAGCGCTTGTTAGGAGAAAATCGACGAGCTTTACCAGAATTTCTAAAATTACTAACCCAAATCTATTTAAGTACATTGAAATAATGCCCGAACATTACCCTGCCGTACGCGGAGATTGGAAAAAGACTTTGTAATTCATCCAAGTTCAATTTGGTGTTAAATTAAAAAAAATTAATAAAAAAAACATTTATTTAAATAATAAATATATAGAATATGAATATATCGAAGTCGATATCGGTTGGCACACTTTGTCATAAAGGTCATTAAGCCTCGCCTTTTGCAAACATCTATCTACATTGACTTCATTTCTAAAATAAGAAATAAAATTGCCATATATAAGGAACATATTTTCAATGCAAATAAGCCGATGCCAAGCGTCATAAGCACGACTTCACATAACTTATAACAATATTGTGCCAACCAGTTAAAAAGACACGTTCATTGTGCATATGTTATATCGCGGCCAACGAACAACGACCAACCATTTAATAAAACCACTTAACGCGGGGAATTCATTTTTTCATTTTTACCGAAACATTTTTGTATTTTATGCTTTAATAGGGCCAACTTTCTGTCCCACCCATATCCGATTAACGCGACAAGCTCAGCCCATTAAACTATTTACAAATACGATTACAAATCTAAGAGGCTTGAGCTTTGCTTGCCGATCCACGATTCCCGCCAAAAGAATCTGTCGCAGCTGCAACGGTGCTCGCACACAAATCCGAAATACCCTCTCTTTACTCGTGATGCAAAATAATCGATATCGCCCATCTGTCATGTCATTCATAGGCCTCATACGTTAAGAGTATAGTAAGCCGACAGTGAGCAACGGCAGGGACAGTGGCAGTGGCAGTGGCAGTGGCAGTGGCTAGACATGTCGGATAATATCGAGAAAAGATCGCAAAGCGGGCAAGGTTAGGTTAATAAGCTCCGGGGTGCAGACGAAGAGGCGACTGGGCGAGTCGCGCTAGTTTAAGCAGGATAGAAGCTTCGTTTGAGAAAGCTTGAGAATTCACAATATCTCGCGCGCGTGCAAGCACGAGAAACGATCGATCGAGTCGGAAGTATTATGTAGAGCGATAGCGAGAACGAGAGTGAGCGATTGAGCGAACGAACGAGAGGGCGGGAGAGAGGGAGGGAGGGAGGGAGGGAGGGAGAGAGAGAGAGAGAGAGAGAGATGCTGAAAACTCAAAACACAGCGAAAAAATTTCGAAAACTTGTCTTTCTCGTTGAAAACACAATTAACACAAAACGTCGTGTATTAACGTAATAATATTATCACACCTCGATAGAGGTTTTGTCCCCGTTGTGTCAATAATCTCCGTCAAGGTGGATCAGACGATGTGCCGGCTGTAACAATTTACCTGGTGTGGTGAGCCGTTGGCCACCAAAATTTACTCGTAATTTTCTAATTAAGCTAGCACGATAATTAAACGTCTCTTTCAATTCAAATTGTCACGATTCAAATTTAATTGGCGAAAGCCGATGAATATGAAATAGCAGCTGCTGTCGCTGAAGATCGATAGGCGAAGATGAATAGGTGATAAACATTAATCGACAGAAGTCTACGTCTGGGTATTCTTAGCAAAGGCTTTAATTGGAAGGATGTTAAACGGGGACCACGAGAAGCTTCTCCCAGAGCCGGACGGTTATGGCAAGTGCTTCTACGATCTCTTCAAAAGCATCGCTGAGGCACAGAGGTAACAGGGTTAACCTCACTTTTTTGACAATCTAACAAAAACTTTGGTCTATTTCGGCATTTCTTTCAACTACTTTTGATGATCGTCTATTCCTTTTAAAATATATTATCACCGTAGAGGATACTTCAGTCAAGATAATTTCAGAATTGTTATAAATTTTGTGAAGTTCTGGTCTGTAACAGACGACACGAGATAACCTCAAAATTTATAGTCAAATGTCAACTACCGTTTTGAAATGTTTTTGTTTATTATTGACATAGTAGTTTTGTAATAATAGAATTACTAACAATTAATTATTTGTCATATTGTTAAATATTAGATAATTTCCTCCTCTATTTATTATGTTATACATGTTTATATACACATATTGAAATAATAATGAATAATAAATATAGTAAATTTATTAAAATTCTATGATGCGGACGATTTATTACAATTTCTATTTTTTTTTTTTTTGAGTAATAGGAGATTTATTTATTTATTTATTCAGTCATTTAAAAACAATAAACATTTTACAAATAATAAATATATTTGAAACTTAAAATGTTATTCATTCAACTTATTGATTTTTCTTTTTAAAATTATGAAGAAAGTCGTCTGCTTGCTGGACGAAAAAGTTTCGATAAATTTACAATTTATCCAAAAATGAATGAAAAATGTATTTATCGCAATATCTTCAAGATCTTAAAAAATTAGATAAATCTTTTATTTTACTGAACAAATCTAATAATTTTGTGTACTTGTTCATTTTAATATTTTTAATTTATTCATTATTATCATGCATCTGCGCATTTGCGCGCGGGTGTATGTGTGTGCGTTTGTTTAATTTATGCACATGTTTAATTTAATAAGTAGTTTGATATAAAATTAACAGATTAACAATTATTAATTATTTTTTATTAATTTCAGATTAAAAGGAGAATGGAAAAAATGTAGGAAAAATAAAATTAAAAGGAAAGATAAAAAAAAGGTAATCTTAAGAAAATTGAATTAATATCGAATTTTTAATAAAAGAGCAATTTTTTGTTTTAAGGTTGATTTTAGCGGAGAAGTGATTTGTACTGGTCCACCTGAAATAGAAGTTTCTAGTAATGCGTCTACGTTTGCTGTTTTTGCCAGTGTAAGGGGTGCCGTTTTAGAGAAACATGCCAGACGTATAAACGAAGCTTACAGAGCTCCAAATTGTACTTCACCTGTACCTCCAGAATTCAGCGACAGCATTATTTCTGAGAGCGATGATGAAGATCGAGTATTAACAACGCAAAGCTTACCAAAGGTAAATTATTAAATTTAATGAGGTATATTCAAAATTAAATTAGATATTGAAATTACATACTTTTTTCAAGATTGTTGGAATAGGTCTAAGAAGCGTCTTCACTTTATTGAGAGAAAGTCGAGCAGTGGAGCCAGTGTTATGTACTAAAGCTCTTAGCGCTCTGTTGGACGTATTACAAGGACAATTACCCGAGGGCTTAAAAGCTGAGCCCAATGAAGCTATTGGTATGTTATAAGTCGAGTTTAAGTGAAAAAATTACTTATCAAAACTTTGTTGACACTTTATATTGTATAATTTTTCAGATCCTTTATTTGATTTACTTTTGGACCTCGCAACTTCACATGGTCCTGAGTCATCGGCACCTAATGATGGAAGTCACTTAACAGCAGTCGCTTGCGCTTGTTTACTTAGTTTAGTTGTCGTTCGTGGAGATACAAGTAGACTTTTATCAACGATAGCAGCTTTATTAATGAGTCCAAGAGCACTCGCCATACAGAATATTCAGGTTCATTTTTAAAATGATATAATATATAATTATGAGTTAGGATTGTTTAAGCTTTCATAAATTAATATATAAATTAGAATCATTTGCATTATGAAAATAATTCAATTGTAATATTGTGTATAAATAGCTTGTTATATACCCGATATAAGATTAAAATTACAAACTCAGTTAATAGGTGAGAAAACTTATTTTAAGTTTAAACGATGTTTGGCATGATACGATCTACACATTTTGGCACATTTCTTGTATGTCATTCTTTAGATGCCTATTGTACTTACTTCTCTTCAAAGAAGTATACATGCAGTTCTGCTTGGAAAACTTGCTCGGCCAGATTGGATAACTCATGGTGTTCCTAAAACGTCTAAGATTTATACCTCTACGCTTAAATTACCAAATGAAATAAATAATTTAAGTTTGAACGGACGAAGCTTCATTAGCGACGGCAAATACTTGTACCTACATACCAATTGTGGTTTATTTAAAATTGGTAATGGCCACGGTGGTACAATATGGGGTCACATTTATGCTCATAAGCCAGACTTTTATCCATTAGAAACAGGATGGATTGGTTATGCAAATGTACTATTACTAGGTTCTAGCAAAATCTTCATTTTAATGCTCATTTCTCAATCTCATATATTTGCTTTATTTCAGAGTTCCTTATATTTTAAATGTGCTCCTAAGAAGCAATGCGAGCTAATGATATTAGACGCTGATACATTAGCAATAAGAGGGATCGCTGTTTTAGAGGGAAAAGATTGGTTATCATCCCTTATGTTTTCAGATGGTGAAAATTTAGGAATGATAACTGCCGGTAAAGATGTAAGTACTTTCAGAAGTAGACTTTAAAAATTATCGGAAATTAATTTATCATTAATTTATCTCTATGCATTTTATGCGCTCCTCTTGTTGTCAATAAATTATTGTTATAATATTGTTTTAAGTAGCCAAGTATTCACTTACATTGAATCAATATTTAATTCTGTATTATTACGGATATTAGAATTATAATTTTTTCGTTAGTATTTTATTTTTGTTGGATAAAAAAAAAAATCATTGTAGTGCAATCGCATCATCACCGCAGTTCTGTCATTAACGTGTCGAACGTGTTTACAACAAAAACAACCGGCACAGTAAGGCTTTCTTTTATGCAATCCTTATTAAAAGTGTCATGAAACGTTAAAAGTCCCAAGAGCATGTAATTCATAATAAAAAAAAAAAAAAAAAATTCGTCTATATATGCAAGTTTTATTTTCTTTTCTTTTTTCTTTTTATAACAGGAGGGCTTTGTTGTTCGTACAATAAATACTTTGAGCAATCCAGTCACCGTCACATCAGAACTTCCTCTAAAACTAGCAAGGAAGTGTGTAGATGTATTTGGATATGCATCATTTGACGAAGATCAGGCTTCTTATATTTTAAATCCTCGCTGCGATGATGAAATAGCATATGTAGCTGCTGGGAAGGAATTCATGCTATTGCGAACGGTTTCTGGTAAATTATTATACAGCGGAAAGGGAAGATGCATTGGAATGAGGAATAACATAAGATCCAATAGGTGGTTAGAAGTTGCCATAGGAAAGAAGTACAAAGTTACGAATTTCGCGGTTGGACACGAGGGTCAACACGCTATTCTGATTCTCGAGGATGGATCTGTGCTTTTCGCTGGTACTGCTAGACGCGGCGAAGATGGAGACAGTAGTAAGCCTACATTTATTTATATAAAGCAATTTATATAATAATTCACAGCACACGATAATGTTGCCATAATCTTAAAATCAAAGATTTTCCAGCCAATGACAAGGCAAAAGAAAAAAAATGATCAAATTTGACATTTGCTACTCTGTGCATTAGATTTTAGCAATTTTCTATTTACATTCTATATAAATTATATTTTTTATTCGCAGATAAAGTTAGACAACAACCAAAGCCAAGCAAACCAAAGAAAATGCAAAAAGTGGAGGGTCAATTTATAGTGAAAGCTGCGTGTAATAATGGCTCTACCGCTTTAGTAACGAAAGAGGGTTCCTTAATAATGTTTGGCAAGGATACGCTGTATAGTGATGAAACTACTGGATTGGTTCCGGATCTTAAAGATGTTTGCGTTGTTAATGTTGCTCTGGGAAAGGCGCATGCCGCTATTTTAACAAATAAGGGCCAGCTGTATACGTTCGGAATAAATAACAGAGGACAGTGCGGTAGAGATTTTTCAACTATACATTCGATAAATAAGGATATTAGTGTTACGGCTATGGAAACCGGCATGACCGAGGATGATGCCATTGGTATTGAAAATGGTAAGCCTATATTCTGTTTTAAAGCTTCAGCATTGCCAAAGAGCTTGTATTGTGGCTAATAAAATATTTGCGTCACTTTATGATTGGGATTACATTTTAAATATAAAAGTTAGTTAGGCATATTAAGTACGTAGGCATGCGTCGAATATTGTTTCGTTCAACAAAATGAGTCTTCTTTTAATTCTTATTTATATTGGTAATTTTCATGAAAATTAATCCGAAGAGTTTCGAAAATATCGAATTTATACGCGTTTACAATTTTGAACGAAAACAAGAACAACAACAACAACAACAACAACAACAACAAATCGATGAGCTAAATCGATCATTCAAAGTCAAATAAAATCGAATTGAATATGCTAAACGCTTTTTTATTGTTATAAAGAATACCTGGAGTAATAATCTAATTCTTAGATGGCAAAGAGGCTGGCGAAGAATGGGACGAAGATAAAAGAATACGAGTGGATGAGATGTGTTCTCCAGGTGAACATCAATGGAGACATCGAGCTTGTATGATTTGCACTGTATGTCGCGAATGTACAGGTTACAGCAAATCATGTCTCAGTAGTATAAGACCGGGAAGGAATCCTGGACAGTGAGTGTTATATTTCACGATTTTCATAATTACTTCACGAATATTAATTAATTTATTATCATGCGTATTTATTCGCGCAGAGAATGTGGTTGCGGCGAGGGTGACAGTGGCTGCGTGGAGTGTGGGTGTTGTCGAATCTGTGCTGGAAAAGTGTGTGATAACGAAGGAGAAATGCCAATACTGCGTGCACCTGCAGGTAATTTGTCTACCGGATTGAGGGGAGTTATTTTGTTTTTAAATGTACACGTTTTTATGTATAAACTATACCGATTATTTTAGCTTATGGTACTTCTCAAGTATCGAAATTGGTTATTCGTGAGATCCTTAGAAAACGTTTAGCAGAGAAAAAACAAAAGCAATGGAAAGGGCAAAATAACCAACGAAACATACATGGTGATTATTTTACTTGTAATAGGAAATTGTAATCTGCACGTTAAGAATTATTAAATTATTAAAGAGTTTCAGAAAATTATTAAAAAGAGTTTCTAAATATTGAATAACAAAGCAGACAGATTATGAAATTTAACTTTCTTTGAATTCCTAATTCAAGCTCGTATTAGTTTATTGTTGTAATTTATTGATTTTCGCAATCAGGCATATATGTTCGTAGGAAAACCATTGAGATTGAATCTTTTAGTTTTAAAATTAGTATTATAAGCTTTCGGTTTAGGAATTAAAACCTTACAATGTTAATAAATACAATAATATTACGCGTAAAAACTAAAATATGAATGAGAAATATCTGATTGGGTTATATCTCGTTTATTAAAATCATTATATATTCACAGATTGCATTTGAATATAAATTTCATTTATATCTTTATTTATTATATATTTTACTTTAGATATTTCAAATACTTTAGATGTTTAACGATAGTCACAACGATGAAATCAAATATGTATCATTATAAGGATTAATAGTGAATTAAAAAAAAAAAAAAAAATATGTAAAAATAAAGCATTATTTAGATACAAGCAAAAGGAGTATAAAATTTTATAGAGTCTTGTTAAAAATAATTTTCAAAATAGAATTAAATTCTATAATTTTGAGACGGCAATCCGTTTTATTAGTTGTATATTTTATTATATTTTATTATTAATTGTTAAGAATTTATTTAACAAGATTATTATCGTGAACACTAATCAATTATTAGAAATTTTTATCAGAACTTATTATTTTAAGTGTATAAAACTGATGCCATTAGTGCTTTGCTTCACAATATAATCCACATTATACATATTAGTATTAAAAACAAATAAAATCTAAATGTTCACGCATGATCGTTAATATGTACTTGTACATATGCATCTATGTACCCCCCCCCCCCACACGCAAACAAACAAACAAATAAATGAGCGCGCTCGCGCGCGCGCACACCCACACACCCACACGCGCAGAGGGCGAGAGAGAGAGAGAGAGAGAGACAGAGACAGATGGACAAATAAAAATATATATGAATAAATGTAGTAGCCGGCCCGATTGTCGTGGTGCAAAAATGTGTACCACCCAAAGGAGCGGGGGAGGCAGGAGCCTCGGGCTCGGGTGCGGCTGCGGCGGGTAACGTCCACGTGGTTGCCGCGGAAGAAGCCGTCGCTGGGGACAGCAGTGACATCGAGCGTGGCGATACTACGCGGGTGGCAAGCATATCACCCGCCCGAGTACCGATTCCCAGCGACAGTCCCGTGGTCCAGGTGTGTTGCGGACTCCATCACACGGTCGTTCTCCTGCAGAGCGGCGAGGTCTTCACATTTGGCAGCAATATTTACGGGCAGCTGGGTGTCGGCAATCTGGTCGCCCAAGCTGGACCGCTGCTGGTAAAAATACCCGGCACCGCTGTCCAGATCGCCGCCGGAAGCAATCACACGGCTGTACTTACGGCCAAGGGGGAGGTCTACGCTTTTGGTGCCTATCAAAAAGGTTAGTTCTCGGCCCATTGTCGTGGATTATCTGCCCCCCTATCCCCCCTCTCCTGTCCATCTGCTTTTTTATTCGACATTTTATCATTTATTCGAAAAGGATTGTAATTTTGCTTTGTTTTTATTTGCTTTGCATTAAATACTGGCTGTATCGGTATATGGATTAAGAAATCTTGCAAAAAAGCATTGATTAAATGTTAATTAAAATAAATAAAATAAATAAAAAAAAAAATTAAATAAATTAAATAATAATGAAAAAAGTATTGCAAATTGCATGATTAAATAATATTATGGAAAAGTTGAAAGGGCACGTTACTACTATTTTTAACTTATTAATTTTGATTTTTTGTAATTTCTAATGGAAGTTTTTTAAATTGGATAATGAAAAGTGTGTGGAAAGTTATTTTTAATTTTTATTTGATATTAGTCATGCATAATAAGTTAATATAATGAAATATCCGCATTTTTCCTAAATTCATTGAATATTTTATAATGCTAGTAGTACGCATATTGTTTGAACAAACAAGAATATATAAACGAAAATTTCGGTGTTTTTGTATATTAAAGGCCAGTTAGGTATGAACTGGTGGAACGATCAACAGCAGCAGCAGCAACAGCAACAGCAACAACAACAACAACAGCAACAGCAGCAGCAGTATCAGCAGCATCAGCATCAGCATCAGCATCAGCATCAGCAGCAGCAAAAACAGCAACAGCAACAGCAACAGCAACAGTGTCATTATCATCATCAGCAACGCTATCAACCACAACAGGACAACGCAATGGCTACGAATTCCTCTTTTTCTCCGAGTAATCGCGATAACGAGCGCTCGCAACCCTGGCACAGTTTTCCGAATATTGTACCGAATATCGGGCCACGTTGGGGCAGAAAAGCTACGTGGATCAGTGCTTCCGGAGATCAGACTTACATTAAGGTAAATTATGTGGAATATTTAATTTAAAATAATGTTATTGATTATAACATTGGAATGTATAATAACATATATATATATATATATATAACATTGCTTTTTATGTTATTAAATTTTGTTATTCCTCTTAGAATTAGGAGATTTTTTTTTTATGACAACCACGGATCATTAAATCATTGAATTAATATTTCATTTTTTCCCTCTTTTTTTTTCTTCTCACTATAGAGTTAATTGTACAGAGTACTTTGAATTATTATTTTGAGTTTTAAGATTACGAATTCTGAGTAAGGTAACGTTATGCAAACGGCAGAAAAGTTTATTATTACAGCTATAACATATTATGTACATTCCTGACTCGCGCATAAAAAAAAAGAGAATAATTTATGCATTTTGAAGCAATATTAGTCTTCTTGATTTTAAACAAATATATTTACATGTTTTTCGGCGATGAACTCTCCCTTTCTGTTTTTCGTCTTTTCCCTTGCATCAACATTCATTATACTTGATATGCTACAATCATCACTCACGTATTTGACATTTCTTAAACGTATAGAATAATCGAGATTGAGTTTGTTTATTATAGATAAACTTCGTGTGATTTATATCGAGTACGTTGCATTCACGCACCTACTTAAATTACATTTGTTATCGTATTGAATTTAAAACTGGTTGCTTCGGTTAATCAATGATGATTTTTATTCATTAGGTTGACGAGATCAACAGCATCAGTCTGACACGAAGTACAGTCATGGCTAACAAGAACTGTATAATCGTACTACCTAATTACACCGAACACAGAAACTCGTTCAAGTGCCTCGTGATTAACAAACGCGATGGCTTATGCAATAGCTTTAGTGGTACCGATCAAGTTGATTTCAATCAGTGTGCTACATGTTTGGATCCGCTGTACAATGTCATTTGGGCCTTCAACCCCTCGAACAACGAAATCACCTATTACAATGTGATATCAACCGAAGCGAGAACGATTCCGAATCTGGAGGTATCGATCTTGAGCCCCGGTTTGGCCCTACCGGTAGTTCCCAATTGTTACGTGACGAGGTCTCAGGCAGCTATGCATTTACTCGCGTGTCTGGATACTCTTACCCAGGCACAGGACGAGAAGTTTGTGATCGTCGAGGGTAGCGATAATAATCCATCGTCTAATGAAAAAGTTTACAGTAGAGAGGATTTTGCCACGGTGTCAAGATTCGAGAAGCACGGGGGTGGATGGGGATATTTGGGACAATCTATCGAGGCCATAAGATTTATGTCTGATACGGACATTTTATTGGGTAAATTTCCTTATATATATATATATATATATATATATATATATATAATAGTTACATATATATATTTTTTTTAAATCAATTGTCAATAAGAACGTTTTGTAAAAATGTCATTAAATACGTTTTGATTAAAGAAATTAAAGTAAAATTAATTTGTTTAAAGGCTATTACTATGAATGATATAGCTTATTGTAATTATGTATTTCCAAATGACAAAGCACAATCTTTGATACGATTGTATGAATTCAAGGTGGCTATGGACTATTCGGTGGTCGAGGTGAATACACAGCAAAAATCAAGCTCTTCGACATCGGATTAGAAGGTGGCGAGGAAGAAATTGATGGCGAGCTTCTTGCCGAAACCGATCAGATTCCGTACGAGTGCGAGCCTCGGCAAACGTATTCCATACTTTTTAACGAGCCCGTAGCCCTTCAAGCCAATCGCTGGTACGTTGCCTGGGCAAAGGTCAGCGGCCCTTCGAGCGACTGTGGCTCGGGAGGCCACGAAATGGTCACCGCCGATGATCAGGTCGTATTTTACTTCAAGACCTCGAAAGAGGCCAACAATGGCAGTGACGTGAATGCTGGACAAATTCCTCAGCTGCTGTACAGGTGAAGCTTATTTTTACTTTGTTCAAATGTCACGTGTCTCTATTTTCGCTGGTTACGATTGTATAGCCAATAATATACCTGCGCACAAATCAGCCAACAAGGAAAATTCGTTACCACTACAAATTCACTATCACTATCGTCACTATTTATGAAGTATATAATTTTGGCGACGGCGTCAGAACGTTAAAAAACGTCGATTGACAAAAGCATGTAACATTGTAACAGTTAATAATACTTTGCATGCGCGATCGAATAGAATTCGTTGTAATTATTTTTGATGGACCTATGCGTCGATTGGTCGATTCTCTGCATGAATTTACCTTTTATCGCTTATCCTCTTTTTTTTTTTTTTTTTTTTTTTTTTTACTTTTTTTTTTACTTTTTTTTTTACTTTTTACAGAGTGATTACTCCGGAGAATCAAAATTATAGTCGTAAGAAGGATCAGGAGGAGGCAGTGTACATACTGAAAAAGGAGTTCAGCAGAACGGTTACGGAAGAGTGTTTTCACTCATTGATATCATTGTTGCAGTGGAGTTGGAATACGTTAAAAGCCAATATGACCGATACGAGTTTATATATTGCGTCATCACCCTCGTATACAATTGTCGAGATGGACAGGCTGGTTTATATTAGTAAGGCAAGCTTGAGATTATTGAGAACCTACACCAATGAGATTTATCCGAATCAGACGAGTAAAAAGACTCCTTCAGAATCGGTGAGATTGGCCGAGTGCATCGGTGAAATCAGAGCTTTGTTGAGACAGATTTTGTCAGACTCGGTGACCTCGAGTACGAAAGGTATGAACGGTAATTTGTCCCTGCGTCCATGATCAATTCCTATATTATAAATAAGATTAATGAGATGAAAGGTCTCGATATAATTAACATTTTCATTGAAGTTGTCGTGGATGAAATATCTTGTTACTGGCTGACAATATTGGCGAACATTAAGAGCAAAGCTTAAATGAAATAAATATTCAATATTTATCCATTACTCTTGCAACATAGTCAATGAAATTGCCGTAAAGTTTGCTTAATCTGTATTAAGTTGCTTTATTCTTCGTATATTTATATATCATACATTATTGATCAGATTATTAATATAATCATTAGAGCGGCTATTTTAAGCTTTGAATTAAACTTGACGTTGCACGATATTTTTCAAGAGTTTTTTTAAAATTTTTAAAAAATTAAGAGTTGCATTATACATCCAAGTTTAATATGTTATTAAATGCTAAATTATTAAACTTCGTAATTAGCAGAATATTATGAAAAATATAAGCCCCGAATGTTTTAACGCAGGCAAAACGAAGATGAACAAGAATTCAGCGACTCTGCGAAATAAGCTGACAGGCGCCATATTGGAAGAATGCTACAAGACATTTGTCGCGTGCTATCATGCATTTTATCCAACAGCTTATCTTAAATGGACGTCTCTTTGTGAACTTTTGTCGGAGATCGATAAGGAGCAGGGTACAACCAGCAAGGACAGATTGCTATCCGCTGTTTTGGCCTCGCTTTGCAGTTCCTCGGTGCGCTTGCGCTGTACATTCCCGATCTTGAATAACGTCATGGACAATAGCGATAGCGTTAAGCGACAGTTAAGTCCATCCGATAATGCCGAATTACCGATGCTGAACTCAAGCGAACCGCATCATTATCCGATTCTGGTGGAACAGATTAGTTATAAATCGCAAATTGAGAGTACTGGGAAGGAAATTTTGAATTGGTCATTTCGCGAGGTGTTGGACAGGTAATCAATACCAACGGATTTTACATTATAATATAGAAATGTTAGTTATTTAGTTGTTATTTATCGAATAAAATTAACGTCGAGAAAGCTAAGTAAACGATAAATCACGTGCGCTTGACCTAACAGATTTCAATCAAATTTTGTCTCCTTCAATATTCATACAAATGTACGTGTGTTAGTTTACATCGCCAAACTAACGTCATTAAAAAATTATAGCAATTTAATCAAATTTTTAATGATTACATGCAATGCTTTTTACGATGCTTTTAATGCTTAATAAATATTTGAATTCCAATTGCGCATGTATACCGTGTATGAAAAATTTGAAAAATCCTTGTCGGACGAGTAATTAATTGCAGTATATATCTATGTAGCATGAGAATGTGCAGAAACTCTAGATAACTGGCTACTCGTGGAGAGTGAGAAAATCGCAACGGCGTACTTTCTTCTATTACAGACTCTTGGATCTCATACTCATACCGGTAAAGCGTAGCCTCTACGGAGAGAAGAGCGAGTCGTTACCACATTTGGTGCTGCACTGCTGTTACCTTTTGGCGCGCGTCATCTCGGAGTTGGCTGCTTATTCCAGCGGGAACGAGGACGAGCTACAACCCGCTTGCTATC